AAAACCCCCCCTTGGCCGCCGCACCCCCTAGGAGATTTGATCTCCTAGGGCCGGCCACCCCCCCTTGGCACCCCTATATATAGTGGGGGGAGAGGAGGGACTTCAGACCTGAACGTCCTGGCCTTTGGTTGCCTCCTTCTTCCTCCCCAACACCTCCTCCACCTCCATAGTGCTTAGCGAAGCTCTGCCAGAGTACTGCAGCTCCACCAACACCACGCCGTCGTGCTGCTGCTGGTGCCATCTCCCTCAACCTCTCCTCCCTTCCTTGCTGGATCAAGAAGGAGGAGACGTGGCTGTTCCGTACGTGTGTTGAACGCGGAGGTGCCGTCCGTTCGGCGCAGGTCATCGGTGATTTGGATCACGTCGAGTACGACTACATCATCACCTTGCAAGCTTCCGCACGCGATCTACAAGTGGTATGTAGATGCAAACTCTCTCCCTAGACTCGTTGCTTAGATGAACTCATAGATGGATCTTGGTGAAACCGTAGGAAAAATTTTAATTTTCTGCAACGTTCCCCAACAAGTACTCCAACCCAAAGATCTCAATCACGTCTTTTGTGTATCTTCAAATGGCCTCCAAGATTGTACCTTCTCCAACGCGGACATAATTGTCAACGACATCGGCCAAACACCCATAGGCAAGCACTCGAACATCAGCGATACACTTCATCAAAGAGCTCACACTTATCTCTTCGGCTGCACTCCTCACGAGTTTGAACCAATCATCGTGCTTCTCCCGCAGCTTTTCAATGGTGAGAAAAGACTTGTGTGCATCCGAAATCGCTGACGTAAATACTTCTACAGATAGGTTGCACTGGGGTTGAAGTAACCTCTCATAATCTTGGCATGACCCTCCACTCTATCTAGATTGGTGTGTATACGATCGAATTGTGATCCTCTTTTCGGCTGCCAAAAAAATTCATTAAAGAACATGCCAATGGCCATTTTCAAGTCGTCATCGTCTTCCTCCTCCTCTGACAACGAAGAGTCCTCGAAGATCATCTCCCTCAACCCCTTCATCTACACTAGAAATGACTCGGTTCAGTTCAATTGCCAAGACAAAAGACGAGATGAAATAGCACAAAAAAACTCACCTAGGTAGATCACCGAACACGATGGCAGAGGTGTCACAGCTGGCCGGTGACGTTGAGCCGTTGCCAAGCTACTAGTGGCCGATAGGGCTTCGTGATGGCCGACAGTGGATGAAGAGGCTCGGAGGAAGATGATCTGGTGCGTGCTTCCGACGACGAGATCGATGCGGTGGTGTTGGCCATAGAACTCGACTCCGATGCCGACAGTGACCGGCGACTTTCTCAAAGTGGGGCAAGCGGGCGGCAAAGAGGGTGTTGACGGAGGCATTGGGTGGTCGTTGGAAGCTACGCCAACGATGACGCAGCACAGGGTGGGAAGGTCGCATGCGCATGAGAAGAGGCCAAGATTACTCCACAAATGGGCGACCGAGTATATTTGAGAGTCAGTGCGTCTTCGTGGTAAAAATTACCCTCTAACAATGATAGGGGTTCGGTTAGATGCGGTTTAAAGAAGAATCTCGAATTTATCATGCTCTAACATCTTTTAAGGAGTCGGTTAGACATGTTCTAAGCTAGGCAAGGAGCACACTGACACGGCCTCAAATATGCCACGAATGCGATGCGCTTTCATGTCCCTCGAGTTAGGAGTAATATACCGAAACATGCAGAGCGTACCTCAACACATGACCATGGTTTACAAATTGGGATAAATAGAGTGTCAAGTTTGGCCCAGACAGAGAGCAGACCAAGCCCTGCTTACCCATGGATCACACAGTCACACAGAACATACAAAACGGTTCAATTGCCGGCCTATCATGTCTCCTCATGGTTGTTCCCGAATTTAGCCAACCACGCCATCTCAGTCCCCGAGCTATGTATGGAACTAGCTTGCATATCCTAACAGATGAAAACATGCCAGATGCACCTGAAAATAGTGGGGTTCAGCTGTCCATGGCCCTAAGAGCATCTACAACGGGGCACCTCAAACCTCTCTCAAACATCCGGACGGATGATTCGGTCATTGACGGCCAAAAAAAGGCGACCCGGACAGGCGCCTCAAACGCCTGGGCTGACCGTTACTCCTTATATCCAGCCCAAATTTGAGACATATATGGGGCGGCCCAGACGTGATCGGGCGCACCCGCCACGTCACACTGACGTTGGAGTCCCATAGAAAAACAGCCGGAAACCCGACGGTCCGACGGCCGTCTCCTCCGACGGGGTGTAAACGTCGTGTGGCGCCGCCCTGGCTCGCCGCTTGAGAGCCGAAGTCCGGCTATTTAAGCCGGACGGTGTCCCCTAGCCCTAGCCGCATCTACTTTCTCTCTCTCTGTGCCGCCAGCCCGAGCTCATCCACCTTTCTACCTCTCCGCCTCACTCTTCCCTCGACGTCCGGCTCCGCCATGGCCCGACAGAAGAAGACCACTTAGGCTATGCTAACGTTGGAGTGCCGCCTCTAGATGCTAGAGGAGATCCGAGCGAGGCGCGACGCCCGCATAGCAGTCCTTCGGACTCGGAGGAGAAGGAGGGGAGGAAGAGGACGGGGAGCAGCAACCGGTTCCCATGGAGGTGTCGGATCTGGAGAAGGATGACACGGAGGAGCCGGCGCCGGCGCTTCACCATGGAGGACGCCATGCCGGAGTTCGCGGTCGTCCAAGCAACGGGGATGGCGAAGCAGCATGCCATTCTGGAGTCAATCCAAGATGAGGCCTATGTCGAGGTCAACAAACAGTTCATCCAGCAAGAACGGGTGGTGAGCGACACGCTATTCGCCGAACTGGACACGAAGGAGGCGGAGGCGACGCGGAGGAGCCGGAGTTGCCCGTATACCTGGAGCCTGACACGGAGATCGTGGACATCTCCAACGACGACAAGTACTCCCTCCGTTCCTAAATATTTGTCTTTCTAGAGATATCAACAAGTGACTACATACGAAGCAAAATAAGTGAATCTACACTCTAAAATATATCTATATACATCCGTATGTAGTTACTTGTTGAAATTTTTAGAAAGACAAATATTTAGGAACGGAGGGAGTAGTATAGTTGATCTACTTAGTAGGTTTTTTTTTTTTTGCATGCTTTGTATGGTTTTAAGGATTGAACAATGAGATATCCAGATATAGAGAGAAAATTTAAGAGGTGCCCGGTCACTATCCACAGACACGCCCAACGTCAGATTTGCTGTTTGTAGATGCTTTAACAGGGTATAGCAGCAGCATCGGATCATGGGTTTCATCACTTACTCTCAGGCAGGGAAGCCATAATAACACTAAAAACATTCAGAGAAACAGAATGTCCCCGTGAAAAATCGGCGTGGCACATGTCGGAATCATCCGCAAGGAGTACCGAGATTTCAGAGACAACATTTGATTATGTCAAAGCTAACAACTGACAGCAACATGAGTTTCAAGTGCACATTCATGGCATAGTCGTTGTAGCCAAGATTACACTTGACTCATGATACATGTCAATGTCATGCTCATTTACTTGGTTCCAGATGCAAGTTAGTTGGGTGCTTGATACATTTTAGTCCCATGACTAAAAGTAGTGGGACTAGAATTTGCTAGCCTCATCCATGCTTGGATCCAAATACTAAAGAGACTAAAATTAAGTTATTGAGCATTTATTATCCTTCAAACCCTTCAATCCAGAACTCGCATATATTAAAGGAGAGGAATTAAATAAGGAGAGAGAAGGCTAATACATATTTTAGTAGGTTTCCTATGACTAAAAAAATTTAGTCCTAGCCTCTAATACATATTTTAGTCCTAGCCTTTCTTTAGTCAGGGGTGCTTGAAATTTTAGCCTCTAAAAAAGACTATTTTTAGTCAGACTAAAAATAGTCCCTTGGATTCAAGCACCCTAAATGTCCAAGCTAGGAATGTTGCGGGTTGACTTCTACTCACATGAGGTTCCATGCCGTCAATTCCATGCCGTCAATACACAACTAATACTACTCCACATGAGGTTTTTTGCTTCGCTTTGCAGATGTAAGTAACTAATAGAAATGCTCCCGATTCAGCAGGAGCTTGAAAAATGCAATTCATCAGCAATTCACGCCGGCGACGAAGCAATATTAGATGCCTGACTTGTCAACCTTTCTTACAGTATATAAATTGACCCAAGAAAAAGGTTTCGAAACCTCAATTTTGAGAGGCCAAGAATGCTAGCCGCTCAGCGATACAAACTTAAGACCTGCAAAAATTCAGATGAAGAATGCAATTGCCACGACACAGTTCGCCACGCCGAAAATCCTATAGAAGCATGCGGAGTACAGAGCCACTTCCCTAGTCGCACATTCTGGTCAGTCTTCATCATCGGCGGATGCCATCGCCGGCACCTTCTCCGGCATAGGCACTGGGTAGTTCCGCGAGAAGCAGGCGTCGCAGAGCTCGTCCGCCTCGTCGCCGTAGATGCTGTGGAGCTTGTCCAGCGAAAGGAAGCCGAGCGAGTCGCAGCCGATCATCTCGCGCACGCCCTCGACGTCCAGCCGGTTGGATATCAGCTCCTTCTCGTCCGGCGTGTCGATGCCGTAGTGGCATCGGCCCACCACCGGCGGGCTGGAGATGCGCATGTGCACCTCGCGGGCCCCGGCGTCGCGGAGCAGGCGCACGATCTTGCTCGACGTGGTGCCGCGCACGATCGAGTCGTCGACCACGACCACGCTCTTGCCCGTGATGACGCCGCGCACGGGCGCGAGCTTGAGCTTCACGGCGAGGTCGCGGATCGCCTGCGTCGGCTGGATGAAGCTGCGGCCGGTGTAATGCGACCGGATGAGCCCCTGCTGGAACTCGAGCCCCGAGGCCTGCGCGAAGCCGAGCGCCGCGTAGAAGCCAGAGTCCGGCACGGGGATGACCACGTCGGCGGTCGGGGCGGGGGACTCCTCGGCCAGCGCGCGGCCGTAGGCGGTGCGCCGCTCGTGGACGGCGTGCCCGAACACGATGGAATTGGGCAGCGCGAAGTAAATGTGCTCGAACACGCACGACTTGCGCGGGCGGTGCGGGACGAGGCAGGCCGAGGACACGGACATGTCCCGGCGGTCCACGACGATCACCTCCCCGGGCTCCACCTCCCGCTCGTACACGGCGTCGATGAGGTCGAGCGCGCAGGTCTCCGACGCGAACACGACGGCGCCGTTGGGGCGGCGGCCCATGACCAGCGGGCGGAAGCCGAAGGGGTCGCGCACGGCGAAGAGCTTGTCGGCCGTGAGGAAGAGCAGCGAGTAGGCGCCCTGGAGGCGCTCGCAGGCGTCGCAGATGCGGGCAAGCAGCGGGCGCGAGAGCGACGTGGCGATGAGGTGGAGGATGACCTCCGTGTCCGACGAGTTGTTGAAGATGGAGCCCTGCGCCTCCAGCTTGTGGCGCAGCGGCAGGTAGTTCACCAGGTTGCCGTTGTGCGCCACGGCGAGCTGCCCGAACCGGTACCCGGCGAGGAACGGCTGCACGTTGCACAGCTGGGCCTGGCCGCCGGAGGTGGAGTAGCGGACGTGGCCGATGGCGGCCTGCCCGGGGAGGCTCCCGAGGTGCGCCGGGTCCCTGAACACGTCGCTGACGAGCCCCAGCCCCGTCACGGACTTGAGCTTGCCGTCGTCCCCGGCGGCGCAGATGCCGGCGCCCTCCTCCCCGCGATGCTGCAGCTTCTGCAGGCCGAGATAGCAGAGCGACGACGCCTCCGGGTCGCCCACGACGCCGAACACGCCGCACTCCTCGCGGGGGTGGTCGTCGCCGCCGTCGTCCTCCTCCTCGCCGAAGTTGAAGGGCGTGACCTTGTCGAGCAGGGCCCGGGCCGGCGGGGCGCGGGCGGCGCGGTGGCGCAGCGCGAGGAGCGAGGGGCTGGGGCCGGCGTGGCACCTGAGCTGTCGATGGACGGTGGACGGCGCGGGGGGCGCGCGGAGGGGACGGGAGGAGGGTGTGGCGGCGGTGGCGGTGGTGGTGGTGGCGGCGGCGGCGGCGGCCATCCCTGGAGCGCGGCGGGATTGGGAGGGTGAGGGCTCTCGAGGATGCCCTCCCGAAGGCGTGTGAACGGACAGGATTTAAAGGGGTCGCCGCCAGGCGTGTGGAGGCCGTATGCCCTACGCACGAGTGATTCCACGATATTTGACTCCTATCGTCATTTTCTACTCTGGATTTTGGGTAAAATGAAAGGACAGAATCTCTGTCTGTTTGATTTGCTGTTTTCTTTCAGTTTTTTTTCTCTCGATCCAATATTTGGTTTTTCTTCAAATTCACGAGTAGAGATATATGTGGTCACGCAAATTCTGTTTCTCTTTTAAATTCATGGTATGGCAACTATATATGCCTCCCTCCGAGATTCCAATTCCAATATGAACTACGTACGGAGCAAAAATATGTCTATATAGCAAATCAACATGTGGCTGGATGATTAGAGGGACTGTGATATCGCAACCCATCAGGTTCAAGTCCCGGTGCTCGCATTTATTCCTGAATTTATTTCAGGATTTCCGGTGATGCGCATTTAGTGGGAGAAGACATTCCCGTCGACGACGAGGTGCCTACAATGATTTCGTATATTTCAGGATGATATGCCGGCTCAGTCTTGCGAAGGTGCTCATAGAATGTGCGGGTATGCGTTCATAAGTATGAGTGTATGCGCGTGTATATAAACGGTTGCGTCTGTACTGTGGTAAAAAAATGTCTATATGTATGCATATGTAGTTTATATTATAATATAGAAAAAAGACTTATATTCAGAAACCGAGACATAACATTTCTACGTTTTCTTTGGATGCAACTAGAAGCAAACTACGGAATAGAATCATTTGCTCCCAATTCTTGGCTGGATAAGCGCCTAATCTTGTGTCTTCTTTGGAGGGATATAAATTTTGTCTTAAGTGCTATTTGTGGGCAAGAATTAATACTATTCCAATTAATCTTCTGGATTCGAGGAGCGGTCCTGCGACCACTTATGACGGTTCATGAAAGCGCGGAATTTCCTTCCTAGTGCGCCATGCCTTTCGATCAGCCGCCAAGCTAGAAGATGAGGCTGAAGCCGTCTTTTGACTACGTTGACGCCTCTTTCATCAAGCAGATCTCGACCGTCAATTCAATTCTTCCCTGGCTAGCTGCTTTGCGCGGGCTCGAGAAGGCAGGCCCACTGGGCGCTGACACTGGGGCCCGCCCCTGAGCCGGCCAGACCGCTAGCCGGTCAAGTGGTGTGGGTCGTCATATGGTCCAGCCCTTTCACGTTTACAGGCATGCGGCCCCACAGGTTTACAGGCAGCGGATATGTATGTCAAACGGGATGCGGGCCACACGGCCCACGTAGACGTCGATCTTCCTCCGCCCTTTTGGAACGTTGGTGTTTGTAGGATAGAGTCGCCACGGGATGGCTTTCGTCGTGGAGCAGGTGAGCCCCTCCGTCCAAGTTTATCCTTGCCTTCAGAACTCGGGCCTCCTTCTCGATTGGCCGGGAAAAACTCGCGGCGCATATCGAACACGAGTCGCCGTCGAATCTGAAGGTTCGCCTGATCGCCTCATCCGGATAGAGAGCTCCACGCCGTACGAAACCGGCGCTAGAACGGACGACGGTCGCTCGACACACAGGTCGTCCTGGAATCGTCCCGGCGGGACGAGGGTGAGGCGCTGCGTTGCGTGATTCCGTCGCCGTCTCACGGCACGCGAACACCAGACGGGCGCGCGGCCGGAACCGGAACAGGTGGTGGGACGCGCTAGAGTCCAGCGGGCATCGGCGAGCGACGGAATCTCTCGGAACTCTCGCCGCCACCCGTTCCCTCGACTCGAGTGGTGCTCGCCCCAGCCGGCGCCTCGTCCGTTCACGGCTCATCCGCCGCTTCCTTCGCCACCGCGCCGGGCGGCATGCTACGGGAAACCGCAAGCTGCAACTGGCGGAAACAATCGTCCATCGGCGTGGCAACTGGCAAGGGCCCGCACCAGGATGCTTCGTCCTGTGTGGTCGCCCGTGCAGCGCTGCGTTGGTCGGAAGAGTCCGTGGTGCTGTCCCGTGTGCTCGTGTCTCGTCGGCGTACGTCTGACTGGATTTGTTTTTTGATGAGATCAGATGTGCGACGAGGAATCCCGTGTTGGCCTGCGAGAATTGGCTGGCCCGAGGGCCCGAGAGTCCTGTGCATTAAAAATTTGGGGCCGAGTCCAGGTCTCACCTTCAGCGAGAGAGCGGTAGTGGGATGGCCCAGTTACGATGCGGTTTCATCACAACGATGTCATGCACGTGCTTTTTTTCTATCCTAATTTTGTTAATGTCTTGAAAATACTAAATTTATATATACTGAGAAAATAATTTATTTATTTATTTGAAGTGTTGCTCTCGCATTTAAAAAATGTTGATGCAGTGTAAAAAATTTTCGCCCCAATTTTTAGAAAATATTTGTACCATTCAGAAATAAATGCTTGTGACATCTTTAAAATGGTCATGCGTTTCAAAAAAATGTATGCAACATTTTAAATAATGATATAAAATGTAAAAAAGAATCATGTAGATTTTAAAAATTGCACAATATTTCAAACAGAAGTTTATGTTATTTTTTTAAATATATCACATAGTTTAAATAAAATGTTTGTACAATTCAGAAAAATGTTTCAACATGTATTAAAAAAATTTAACACGTATTTTAAAAAATGTTCAAAATATGTATTTGAATAAATATTAATCATGTATTTACAAAAATCTTAAACACATATAAAAATGTTTTAGATGTATACAAAATATGCACAACATGTATAAAATAGATAGACATCACTACATATATTTGAAAAAAATGGTTATAATGTATTTACCAAATTTTACACATGTATAAAAAAGCTCTATAAAAAATGTTCCTAGTGTATACGAAAAATGTACAGTATATATAAAAAATTAGACGTGTGTTTAAAAAAAAAAGGAGAAAACAAGAAAACCCGAAGAAACCCCGATAAAAACCCAATGAAACCCCAAATTAAACCAATGCAAAACAGTGAAAATATAAGAAAAAACAATGAAAAAACTCGCCAACGGCCATGTCACGTTGTAGGCGAGACCTAATACGATTCACAACGGGGTGTTGAGTTTTGTAATTGTTTAGAAAACATAGGATAGACTAGGATTTGTTTTACCTTGTTTTGTATTCCAAAATGATCATGCACCTTTAATATATACGTCCACGAGACTCAAGCAATATATCTTTAATTCCATCAATTCCTCTACTCGTCTTGCCCGTTTCAGGCTAACCGATCCAAACCCTAAACGTCGCCGTCGCTTCCGCTCCGCGCCGCTCTCGGGGCGGTCAGTTTCCATGATCGGTGCCAGGGTCGTGCCTCCCATAATTAGTGTTTGTCTGCCAGTCGTGTTGACCGGCTATCCTAGAGAGTCTTTTTTCCAATCCATTAATGTGGGTTTTCTCTCTCACTGGTCGTCTTGATCGTGTTTTTTTTTCAATCTAAGATTTGTTTGCGTCGCCTCCCGCTGCTTCGACCTTCGCGCCTCCACTCCAACTTTGACGTCACAACCGGAACTTAAGTTCCGATTGTTGATGTTTTATTCGAATTCGAAAGGGCCAAACCTATATATATTATAAAGAAAGTAATCCAGCTGGAATCAATCAATCAGAAGCTCCCTTTTCGTCTGCGGCCGACGCGCATCGTGGTCCAAGTGCACTTTGCTACCGCCACTCTCTCCTCGATCCACTTCATCTTCATTGCATGCCCAGTCTAATCAACTGTATACGTGCCTTCATCCGCGTCGCACGATCAACCTGATTTGTGCGGGCCTTCGTCAGTTTTGTGAAGATCCTCCCCAAGTATGCGCGTCTCTCCATCGATCGAGCAGCGGGTTGCCACTGCGTCGCCCCGTCGGGCCGCAGCGCCGCCGCCCCGTGGTTCTCCCCGCTGCTGCATCGACTTGAACGTTGCCGCAGCGTCGCCCCCCTCAAGCCGTAGTGTCGTGACACACGGTTCACAACGTTGCTCCGAGGCCGCCCCTGCGGTAGAACCGACCCTCATGACGTCATTGCGTCGCCTCTTCTTTTCATAGCGCCGCGACACGCGGTCAACGCCATCGCTCTAAGGTCTTCCCTGTAGCCGCTCGGACTAGCGTGCTGCTGTTGCGTTACCCCTTCGAGCCGTAGTGCCGTGGCACGCAGTCCACTCCGCCATCTCCGCACGTCGACTTATACGTGGTATGTGATACGTCTCCAACGTATCTATAATTTTTGATTGTTTCATGCTGTTATATTTATCATTTTTGAATGTTTTAC